GGAAACATCTCGTCTGGGGCCCATGGGTGGGGCACAGTGTATGCCCATGGGGTGAGCCGCACTCACTCTGGGCCTGGGCTGGGCGCATGCCTGCCCTGGCCCCCCCCATCTACTCCCACTCCCCATCGCTGCCCTCCCCTGTGACAAGGCCCAGGGACTAAGCACGGCGGAGGCTGGAGTGGGGCCTGGGGGGCAGGGGGCAGCTGCCCAGCCCTGTCGTCTCCCTCCCCTCATAGCTTGTGCGCCGACGGCAAGCTGAGCTGCCTGGGGTACGAGGAGCAGAGCACAGGTACACCTCCCCATTGGCCTCCCCAAGCGACAGAAGGGCGGGGCTCCCGCGGGTGGCCGGCCCCTCCCACCGAGCCCTCCCTCCGCAGGGTGTGTGGCCCCCATGGTGTTCCTGGACTGCCGCAACGCCTCTGCCGGCTCGCCCGGGGCCGAGTGTCTCCGCAGCTGTCACTCGCTGGACGTGGACTGCGTGAGTCGAGGGGAGGGCAATGGGGCTGTGCTGCCCCCAGGCCTAGGCGTCTGCCAGCCCAGGGCGGGCAGCGGCCCCTCCCCTCGGGGTCCCTGAGCAGCCACGGGAGGGACCGAGCCACTGACGGGCGCCCACCTGTCCACAGTTCAGCTCTCACTGCGTGTCTGGCTGCGTCTGCCCCCCGGGGCTGGTGTCGGACGGGAGTGGGGGCTGCGTGGCCCAGGAGGACTGCCCCTGCCTGCACAACGAGGTCGTCTACAAGCCTGGGGAGACCATCCGCGTCGACTGCAACACCTGGTGGGTGGGGGCTGCAGAAGGGAGGGCGTGGGCAGAGGCTACGGGGCGGCAGCCCCAGCTGGTCTGGGCAGCGCGCCGTGCCTGCGGCTGGGGCTGGGCAGGAGCTGGGACCTTGATGGCCCCGGGTGGTCGGTTCGTCCTGGGGAAGGTGCTCCCAGAGGGGCTTCAAGACGCCAGGGCCGGTCAAAGCAGCCGCCAGGACCACAGACCCTGCACCCCGGGCACCAAGGGCTGGGGAAGCCTGGAGTCAGGACCACAACTAGGGAGTGGGGTGCCAGACCCCGAGCGCCGAGCTCGCAGCCTCATTTACGCCCTTGAGAAGGGGGAGGGGCATCGCCCATGACCCCACTTTATAGAAGAGGGGCTGGGTTCCCGTCCTTGTCATGGGCATGACAGGGCTCAGCCGTAGCTGCCCGGTGGGTGGGCTCCCTTCCTGGCCCGCTGAGCGGGGCATCGCCTCCCCTCGCCTCGCAGCACGTGCAGAAGCCGCAGGTGGGAGTGCACCCGCCAGCCCTGCCTGGGTACCTGCGTGGCCTACGGAGACGGCCACTTTATCACCTTCGACGGCGAGCGCTACAGCTTCCAAGGCAGCTGCGAGTACTTGCTGGCCCAGGTACGGCCCCTCGCCCACCCCGCCGCCGGCACACGCTCTTTGGGGCCGCGACCCACGCCCCCACCTCCTCTCCCGTCCCAGGACTACTGTGGGGGCAATGGCACGGCCAACGGGACCTTCCGCATCATCACCGAGAACGTCCCCTGTGGGACCACAGGTGTCACCTGCTCCAAGGCCATCAAGCTGTTCCTGGAGGTGAGGGGGCCTGGGAGCCTCTCCCTCCCTCTGCAGCTGAGGGCCCCATCCTATTGGAGCCTCCAGCTGCATCTGTGTCTTGGGGCCACTGTAACAGAGGACCACAGCTTGGGACTTAAAACTGGAGAAATTCATTCTCTTCCAGCCCTGGGGCCAGAGATCTGAATTCAGTGTCACTGGACTGAAAGCAAAATGTCACAGGGCCAGGTTCCTTCCAGAGGCTCCGGGTGGGGAGGGGTCCTTCCTGCCTTGTCCAGCCTCTGGGGGCTCCAGGCGGGCGCTCCTGGGCTGTGGCCGCGTCACCCCCGTCTCTGCTCTGTCTTCACACGGCCCCCTCCTCGGTGAACTCTCTTCTCTGACAGGGACACCTGTCATGGGATCTGGGCCCTAAATTCAGGGTGCTCCCTCCTCGAGATCCTTCACTTAATCACACGTGCAAAGACCCTTTTTCCAAATCAGGGCACATTCAGGGATTCCGGAGTTAGAGCGTGGACATGTCTTTTGGGGAGAACACCGCTCAGCCCACCACACCTGGGGATGCCCACTTCAGCGTTCACAGCAAAGAGAGCAGAGCTGCTGGCTGGGGGCTGTTGCCCCCTTCCCAAAGGCAACATGGGGGGGCGGGCTGCGGCAGGGCCATGGGGCCGATGTCCCCCTCTGCTTGCCTGTGGCCCCCGACCTTCCGCACCGCCTCTGCCGGCTCCCAGCCTCTCACCTCAAGTTTGTGGGTGGTGTCAGGAGCCCAGCTCTTTCCTAACACTAGCCCGTGCCTTTGGCCCCTGAGCACCCTGGGGCCCCCATCCTGGGCATGGGGTGGGGAAGGGGTGCTGGCCACTCAGCTCCCTGCAGCTGCTGCCTCCCCCGTGCCCCTCTGCAGAACTATGAGCTGGTCCTCCACGAGGGCACCTACAAGGTGCTGCAGAGGGCGCCAGGTGGGCACCAGCCCTTCAAGATCCGTTACATGGGCCTCTACCTGGCCATCGAGACCCGCAGCGGCATGATCCTGTCCTGGGACCGGAAGACAAGCGTGTTCATCAGGCTGAACCAGGATTACAAGGTGGGGGGCGGACAGAGCTCTCACCCCTAGACCTAGGCCTTCGGGGTCCCCCTGGCAGTTGGGTGTCTGCTGAGGGCTGGGGGAGGCCATGCACAGGGCAGGTCCCCAAAGGGGCGTGTGAAGACCAGACCTACCGGTGGGCGCGAAGCACTCTTGGCTGCCTGGTCTCTGCACTCAGCCGCTCCACGCCAGCTGGGCTGAGGTCTCCAGGGGGGCAGGTGACTGTGCCTCTGGTGGCCACCCACCTGCCGGCATACCTTCCTGTCCACCTGCCCCCTGCCTGTCCCCCCGCTGACCTGTCTCCCTTCCTGTGCACCTGCCCACCTCCCTTCCTGCCCATTGCAGGACTGCCTGTGCACCTCATCTTCCTGAAAGTTCACTGGGGGAACCAGGTACCCTGCAGTCACCCCTTCTGGGCCAGGCTCTGTGCTCGGGCCACCTGTATAGCCCCCATGCCCCCATCTCTGCGTCCACAGGGGAGGGTCTGCGGGCTGTGCGGGAACTTTGATGACAACGCCCTCAACGACCTCACCACGCGGAGCCAGTCCGTGGTGGGTGACGTGCTGGAGTTTGGCAACAGCTGGAAGTTCTCCCCGTCCTGCCCGGACGCCCAGGACCCCGAGGACCCCTGCACGGCCAACCCGCACCGCAAGTCCTGGGCCCAGAAGCAGTGCAGCATCATCAGCGGGGACGCCTTCAGCGCCTGCCGTTCTCAGGTGAAGCAGGAGGGGGAGGGGCCTGGCTGGGGAATGGCGGGGGCTGCCCCCTCCTCTCCTGGCAGGACCTGGGTTTGGCCCTGTTTTTACCCTAACCGTTACACATGATCAGCTCCTCCCACTAGGCAGGCGCCCATATCCCCAGTCCTGCAGAGAGCCCCCCACTGCTTTCCCTGACCACACTAAGCCATTTCCCCAGAAACGGGCTGTGAGCCACACAGTGTCACCAGTGTCACCCCCTCGCCTCCCTTCTTCCCACCTCCCTGATTTACCAGCCCCCAGCACTAATGGAAGCCTCAGGGGGCCCTCCAGCCCAGCCGGGCCTCATGGGAGCAGAAGACAGTGATGTCCTTGGACACTCTTCCCCAAAGCCCTTCCTGTTACCTAACAAGGACTGCAGTGCCCACCTGTGAGCAGGGTCTCATGACCTGGGACCCGCATAGGGATGAGGAGGGCGGCTTGGCAGGAAGTCTGCAGCTGACGCTGGTGGTCACGTGAGGCCCCAGGTGTCCTGCCCTTTGGCTCAGAAAGTCCTTTGTGAACCTGACATAGTGGTCCCTTCCCCAGATGGTGTCATCCATGGTGGCAAACTCAAGACATGGGTGCCCTGGGCTCTGTCGCCTGGGAGGGACGGGGCGTCCCCTCACCCTGAGGAGACAGCACCTCATTTGTCAGGACAGAGTCACAACAGGGTCACGGGGAGGGCTGGCTTGCAGTTGCATGAGGCGTCAAACGGGTGAGGGACCAGGGGCAGGTGCCTAGGTGGGCACGTCTCCAGTGGCAGGTGAGGTCGAAGTGCAAACAGGGAGCCGGCTGCCCCTGACACGGGGGGTGGCCCTTCTCACTGAGCCCCCCCCACCTGCCACCCCCAGGTCGACTCCACCAGGTACTATGAGGCCTGTGTGAGCGACGCCTGCGCCTGTGACTCTGGGGGCGACTGTGAGTGCTTCTGCACGGCCGTGGCCGCCTACGCCCGGGCCTGCCACGAAGCGGGCGTGTGCGTGTCCTGGCGGACCCCGGACATCTGCCGTGAGTCAGGCTCTGTCCGTGGTGGCGGGAGGAGGTGCAGCCACACCTGCTCTGGGGCCTGATGGGCACGTATGCACGCACACGGACATCAGACACACATGTGATACACACGTGTGCACGTGTCCCCGTGCGTAGAAATCAGACAGGTCACCCCTTAGTTGGGGACAGTTCTGAGTGCAGAGCTGAGAAATGAAACTGGAATTCGGGGGGTGGGCTCTGGAGCCCACTCGACTCTGGGATGAACCCAGGGATGAGACCCGGGCAGGCGCCCACGAGCCTCTCTTCCCCACCCAGCCTTGTTCTGTGACTACTACAACCCGCACGGGGAGTGTGAGTGGCACTACGAGCCTTGTGGGGCCCCCTGCCTGAGGACCTGCCGGAACCCCAGTGGGCAGTGCTCCATGGACCTGCCGGGCCTGGAAGGTGAGGCGCAGGCTGCTCCGGGGAATCACACCTTGCCACCCCAGGACAGAGTACAGGCAAGGGGGAGAGGGGCTCCTGCCTCGCGCATACCCACCTGGAGACCCGCAGGCAGAGGCGGGCTGCCGGCGGGGCAGCACTGGACACCTGGCCTGAGAAGGCGTCTTCTCCTCGCCCTGTGCCCGCACCAGGCTGCTACCCGAAGTGCCCGCCCAGCAAGCCATTCTTCAACGAGGACGAGATGAAGTGCGTGGCCCAGTGCGCCTGCTACGACGAGCATGGAAACCACTACGATGTGGGCATGAGGGTCCCCACTGCGGAGAACTGCCAGAGCTGGTGAGGAAGCTGGGGTGGGGGCGTGGTCTGGGTGGTGTGGGGTCTGGGTGGTGGTGGGGGTCTGGGGTGGTGTGTGGGGGGGGCCTGGGTGGGTGGGGCGGGGTCTGGCCTGGGTTGGGGCGGGGTCTGGGATGGTGGTGGGGTCTGGGCGGGGTGGGGCGGGCCGGGAAGGCAGGGCTACTGGCCTGGGCCCCAATGGCCTTTTCTTCTTCTCCCAGTGTCTG